GCTCGAACTCACAGCCTGGTGCTTGCTCAGCTGGGACTTTGGACCTGAGCATCCCCCTGGGCCACCCCTTCAGTCCTGAAGCCTCCCTCACAGGGCGTCGGCCTCTCCATCAACAGCTTCTCCTCTGTGACTTTGGACGCGCCGTTCTGTCATCTTCTGGCTTCCGGTCGTGTCTGATGTGACACGTCTGTCTGTGTTTCCTGCCTGTGTCCATCACTCGGCTGCTGGCACATTGGCGATTCGCCTCGGGGTTTGTTTTGTAGAGTTTACTGTGCTTCCTGGGCTAGAATTTTCACACCAAATCTAGGCTGAGCTAGGTTGGAGGTGTGGGTGGTCACTGGGACAGCAGGACATGAAGGGGTTAGGATTGAGCTGGACACCTCGGCCTTGGGAGGGACCTTGGCTTTGTCCTGAGAGAAAAGGAAAGTGAGAAGGAGGCGGAGAAGGGGCATCCTTCTTCCATTCACTGACCCTCAGACCACAGCCTTACTTAGCAGGGACAGAGGGAAGAAAATGAGCTGAGCGGGGTGGGAGTGGGGGAGCCTGTGACCTCTGGAATTTCCAGGCTGAGGGGGCATTTGAACCGAGCCAAACTTCTCCTGGTCCTGCCACACCCAGCATGGCGTATTCAGACTGGTCTATGGGGGGGGGGGGGTTCATGGTTCTGCCACACCCAGCATGGCGGCTTCTGCTGGCATCATTGGCCTCCAGGAGCTAGTGCCCCTTCCTGCTCCCTGCAGGTTGTAAGTCCTCAGTGGGCTGAGGTCCAGCAGCCGCCCGTGGCCCTGAGACTGCCCGTGCTCAGAGATGGGCCCTTGTCCTTCTGGGGCTGGAGAGATACGACCGAACAGTGGAGAGGGCGCTCACCTTGCACAGCAATTTGTAGAGTTCCCAAGCCCCATCAGGAGTGATGCTGCACACAGAGCCAGGAATAACCCCTGAGCGTTGCCACGGTTCTTCCTGACGCTCTTCTAGCTGGCACCATAGAGGCACCCCTGGTACCCACTGAGGTGTGGCTCCATGCTGCTGGTGGGTACCTGTGAGCTGGCCACGCTCCTCAGTCCCACTTGGGGACACACAGATATGGTCTGAGGGTCCCCTGAGCCCCAGTCTCAGCAACACACCAAGACCCCCGTTCAGAATGATTTGGGGTCACCCCCTACCACAGTGTGGCCTCCGCTCTCTTCCCCTCACCCAGCTTTCTACATGCTGACTGGGGGAGGGGAGTTTGGGGCTGGTTCTGGGGATTGACACATTCATTCACCACCACCCAACCTGCTCCCCGACATGCACACACACACACACACACACACACACACACACACACACACACCCTGACTCTACATTCTCCAGGAGACTTGGCCACTGGCCCCTTTGGGCTGGCTTCCACAGAGCCTCCGGGAAATGGCCAGCCCAGTGCAGTGCCCGGAAGGAGCAGGGGAGTGAAGGATGGGGCGCATCTGGGCAGACACTGAGAGCAGAGTAGAGCATCCCCCCTGCCCGCCAGGTTGGCCACCCCCCTCCGCTCAACCCCTCCGCTCACCTGGGTGCACCCCACTCCCCCTGGAACCCCCCACCGCCCAGGGTTTTACAAAGGGTGAGATTTTCAATGCAGCCCCCTGAGGTGTCTCAGATTTAAACGGCGCTCAGAGTCCGCCCCTGATTCCAAGAGTGGGAAGCACACTCGATACGTTCCCGTCCTGTTAGACGCCCGAGAACATTCTGCTCGGGGGGCCTTATCTCAGCCGGCATCTGCGTTTTCAAATGCATTTCGTGGTCAACCTGCGTTTTGTTTTCAGGCCAGCGGGTTAGAATCTGGTTTGTCGGGAGTATTATGTATCCAAAGCCTCCAGTTCAGGACCTTGTCGTGTCAGAGGTGGCCGGGCCATGCGGGGGGGAAGCCGGCATTCGAACATTCCCCCAGGTAATGGCTCACTCGGGGCCCAGCCCTTGAAACCGGACACGCCCCACGCCCGGACATAAAGAGTAGCGGTGCCTGTAAAATTCCTCCCCACAATGGCATCCGAAACCCACCCTTGCCAGGCATTTATTCCTGGAGCATTTCCTTCTCCGTCACCTCGCGTCTCCAAGTCTGCGTCCCGGTGCCAAGCTCACGTGGACGGCCCCAAGGGGGATCGGGGGCCTGTGTCCCCCATGGGGCGGGTATTGAGGTGGTGTGGTAGGAGGTGGGCTAAGAGACTCAGGGCTGGCCTGAGGTGCCCCATCCTTGCAGAGATTCTTGTTTCGTTTTTTTTGTTTGGGGGCCACACCCAGCGATGCTCAGGGGTCACTCCTGGCTCTGCACTCAGGAATCACTCCTGGTGGTGCTCAGGGGAACCTCTGGGATGCCAGGTGATCAAACTGGGCTTGGTCACATGCAAACGCCCTCCCCGCTGTGCTGTCACTTCAGCCCCTTCCTGCCGGAGTTTCTGACACCGCGTTTCACACCTCGGCCTGCCTGTGAGGAGCTGGTGGGCTGAGTCATCACACCACACCGGGCCAACTCCAAGGGACGCTCAGGCTGGGGACCGTGACTGGGGGAGGGGGTGGCAGCTGAGCTGTGCTTGCCTGGCCTGTCTCCACAAGTCCCCACATGTCCTGAGGTGTTTTTTGTTTGTTTGGGGGCCACGCCTGGCGCCTGGCGGTGCTCAGGGCTCCCTCCTGGCTCTGGCTCTGGGGTCACTCCAGGAAGGACATGGTAGAATCCTCTGAGGATGCCGGGGCTCGGACCCAGTTCGACCCGGTGCAAGGCAAGGGCCCTACCCACTGCACTCTCGCCCGGCCCCATCTCGGTGTTCAACCCACTGGCGCCCACCGGGCGTTGGACCAGTGTGGCCGGCAGCTTTCCTGCCGAGGTTTCCTGCCGCCCACCTGCCCGGCGTCCTGAAGACAGGATGAGGGGGTGGCCCCCGGGCTCCTGCCCTTCATTTCCCCACCACACCTCCCTCTGCTCCCAGTGATGTCGGCGTCATCAGGAGACAGACAGGCCGGGAAGTGGCCCGGGCCTCTGTCCCCAGCACCGTGCGCCCCCTCCAGTGGTGGCAGGGGGTGGGGGCGGGGGGGCAGGACAGAGGCATGTTTGTAGCAGCCCTGGCTTTCCACAGCCAGGGAACCTCAGAAATGTCGGTGCTGCGGTTTTGGGGGGCGGGAGAACAGCGGGTTCCTTACGCGCCACTCAGCTCCCGGGGCACCAAAGCATCTGAAGCCCGTTAGGGCGAACCAGCTTTTATTTGTTGGGTTTTTGGTTTTTGGTTTTGGTTTTGGGACCACGCCCGGCCATGCACAGGGGTTATTCCTGGCTCTGAGCTCAAGGATTACTCCTGGCCACGGACTAAACCTTACCTGCTGTACTATCTTCTTTTTTTTCTTTTCTTTTTTTTTTATTTATTTATGTATAGGGCTGGAGCAATAGCACAGTGGGTAGGGCGTTTGCCTTGCACGCAGCCAACTGGGCCGAGCTGGGTTCGATTCCTCTGCCCCTCTCGGAGAGCCCGGCAAGTTACCGAGAGTATCTCACCCGCACGGCAAAGCCTGGCAAGCTACCCGTGACGTACTCGATATGCCAAACACAGTAACAACAAGTTTCATGATGGAGACGTTACTGGGCCCGCTCGAGCAAATCAATGAACGGGAGGACAGTTTTTGTTTGTCTGTTTGGGGAGACGCCTAGTGGTGTTCTGGGGTCACTCCCAGCAGTGCTTGGGGGCTCTGGTGATGCCGGGGCTTGAACCCGGGGCTTCCGCGTGCGAAGCCTAAGTCAGCAAGTTCATTGTCTCACTTGTCCCTTCCCTCCTTACTCTGGGGGTCACTCCGTGGCTGTGGATTTGCACGCATGCTCGTGGGGGTCACGCCCCTTAGATGGGGGGGTGCTAGTGGCCAGGGTGCCGGGGAAGGTGCACCCTTCTCTGCTACAGAGCACCAGGCGTGGCCAGTGGCACCCAAATGCCCAGGCAGCAGCCTCGGCAGGGTCACGCCTGGCACGAGTGGGCAGCACCAGAGTCCATCCAACTCACAGCCTCTTGCTGGCCTCTGGGTGAGCCCCAGGCAGAGATGAAAGCCGGGATTCCTCTGGGCTCTGTGTCGAGAGGTCCCTTCTGGTGGACTCGGGGGACTATATGGGGTGCCGGGGATCGAACCGGGGTCAGCCATGTGCAGGAAAGCGCCTTCCCCACTGTCCTGTCGCTCCGGCCCTTGTCCAAGCATGATCTGCCCTGCACCCCTTCCCACCCCGTTGCCCAGGGCATCTGAGCTCGGAGCTTCCATTGTCTCTACCGTCGAGGGTTTGGGGTGACCACCTCCAAGTCTGGGTCTCAGCCCCCCCCCCCCGTGTCCACGACGCCTCGCCAGCCTTATTCATCCCAGTCTCTGGGGTCACACAGGGGGCCAGATATTGGGAAGAGTGTCTCACTCCATCTTCCCAGAGCAGGACCCCTCTGACCCTGGCCAGTGGGCAGCAGGTCCGTGGCCGGCTCTGCACCCCTGTGGGGCCCCGGCTCCCTAAGGCGCCGGGCGGAGGCTGGTCTTCTGCCCATGTCTGCCCTGGGCACACATCCAGGGAGCTTGTCTGTTCTCTCATCTTGCTTATGTGCCCTCTGGAGAAGCCCGGGTTCTCCCCCAAACATATCTCCCCTCCTCTTCTCTTACAGAATTCTTTTTTGGGGGGGTCACACCCGGCGATGCACAGGGGTTACTCCTGGCTCTGCACTCAGGAGTTACCCCTGGCAGTGCTCAGGGGACCATATGGGATGCTGGGAATCGAACCTGGGTCGGCCACGTGCAAGGCAAACGCCCTGCCCGCTGTGCTGTCTCTCCAGCCCAATAGAATTCTACGCAAGTTTTGTTCAATGTAAATTACTTGCGTCACTTAAAAATATATATATAGTGGCGAGCCCATGGGCTTCATGGAGGGACCAAGAGCCTCGTGGTCCCGGGGCTGGCTCGGCGTGGGGGGGGTACCCCCAGGTAGGGGCCCCAGGCCATCACCGTGTCTCTTTGTACAGGAGGATCATGACACCATGGAAGCCGACCTGGACAAGGACGAGCTGATCCAGCCCCAGCTGGGGGAGCTGGCGGGGGAGAAGCTGCTGACCACCGAGTACCTGGGCGTGAGTACCCGGGCAGCGGGGCGGGGAGAGGGGCGTGGCTGTGGGGTACCTGATGGGTACCGGGTGGGGGGGTCCCGGGAGGGAATGAGGGCGAAAGCGTGTGCTGAGGGCAGAAGGGAACCAGAAGGCTCTGAGAACCGGATTAGGGCGGTTTCGGGGGGCCGAGGCCCAGGCGACTCCAGGCCTGTGGAACAGCGTCCGTGCTGCCCACTCTGGAGTGTGGCCCCTCCAGACAGGAGGACACGGGCCAGCAGGGAGCTACCCAGAGGCAGAGGGCTGGCCAGGGTGCCTCACGGGGCAGTCATGGGGACAGTCCCGGGTGTCAGCGCAGCCCCTGGGGGTCCGGGTGCTGATGTGTGGTGGGAGAGGCCGGCTGTGCGCCGGGTCCCTGAGCACCACCTGGAAAGGGAGAAGCTCCTAGAAGCCTGTGCTGGTCGCGGGTCCTGAGCACAGCAGCAGGAGCGGGCAGTGGGCAGGGCTCCCGCCTGGGCCTCGCCCTACTGTCAGGACGGCCAAGGGCAGCTGCGATGGGCAGCCTCGAGAGTGGCAGTGTGGCTCCATCTCCCTCGGGCCGCTTTTCGGTGAGAGGAGGAGGTAAACTGAGGCAGAGGACCGGCTCCCCCCATCCTGAGTCTACCCGGACCCCTCGACGGCGTGCAGGGGCTGCACGGGGGAGATGTGGGGCAGGCCACGAGGGGCTGTCCAGGCTCTGCAGGGCCTCTGTAGGGGTCTCTGGAGATCCAGATCTCTGGAGGCTGATGGACACCCGGCCGTGGACAGAGCCGCCCCCACCCACAGACACAGCCATGAGGAACCGTGCGTCACCAAGGGGTCCCCTGTCACCCATCTCATGGCCTCTCAACGTGCCCCTCGCCCTGTGGGGGGGACACAGCGGAGTGTTAGCAGCAAAGGAAGCAAGACGCAGAGCGCTGGGTATGATGCAGACTGCTAGGCAGTGGGACAGAGTACTAGTGACAGAGTACTAGTTAGTGGTGTGGGTGACTAATGGTGCAGGGTACTGGTTAGTGGTACAGAGCACTAGTTAGTGGTACAAGTGGCTAGTTAGTGGTGCATGTGACTGGTTAGTGGAACAGAGAATCAGGTAATGATACCAAATACTGGTTAGTGGTACAAATAACTAGTTAGTGGTGTGGGGGACTAGTTAGTAGTATGGGTGACTAGTTAGTGGTGCAGAGGACTGGTTAGTGGTAAAGATGACTAGTTAATGGTATAGATGACTGGTTAGTGGTGCAGAGGACTGGTTAGTGGTACGGATGATTGGCTAGTGGTACCAAGTACTGGTAAGTGGTGCAGACTGGTGAGGCACCGGGAAGATCTTCAATTAACGGTATCAAAGAGCTTACCCCATCTCAGGCATTCTAAGCCCCGTTCCTCTTCCTCAAACCTCAGGGATGGTTCCACCAGACTCTAGCAGCTCTATGAACAGTGCTCCCCTCATGCTATCACTTGCTTTGGGCGGGAAAGCATAGTGGGGGCCAGGAAGCAGATGGCGTGCTCACCTTGCACAGGGCCTACCCAGGTTCGATCCCCACCACCCCATATGGTTTCCCGAGCACCGTTGGGTGTGGCCCAGAACAACCCAGGATGAAGCCCAGAAAGAGTTCCTGGCACCCGGGAGAGGCAAGTGTCCCCGCGTCCTGGGCTCCCAGCACAACTGCCCTCCACAACAACCCCCAGTCTGCAGTCTATTCGTTCCGGCTCTGGACCGAGTGTCCATGAGTCAGGGACAGGGTGGTCAGGACTGGGGCCCCCCTCCTGACTACCAGGCTGCTGCGGGCACCTCTTGGCTTGTGACACTCACCTCGACTCAGCAGCCAGTCCTGGGCCCTGAGAACGTTTGTTATTGGACTTGGGACATTCTGTCCCAAGAACCTTCGCTAAAACCTATTTTATGGGGACTCTTCTCCCTGTAAGTCACAGTTACTGGCCCTAGGATTGAGCCTGTGGACGCCGGGAGCCGCTGGAAGTTTCCATCCCCAGCTCAGCTCTCCTTGTTCCGCACCCCCCCCCCCCCAGCATTGTGGCGGGCTTCAGTGGAGGCTCGGTGGCCTCACCCGGGCTGAGATGCACCTGCTCACTGGGGGCTCCTGCCGGAAGCAGGTGCTTCCCGGGGGAGCCCGTGCCACGGCCCCCTTCCCCCCGCTCCCGCGTGCCAGGCAGACGGCACATCTGTCAAGAGCAGCCAGGTGCCGTGGGCTCTTGCCAACACTGTGTCCGGAGGTCATATTCCGGCGACTTCATTGACCTTGGCAGAAAGCAGGAGCCAGAGCGCGGCAGCTGGGGCCTGGCAGAGGTTGGCAGATGTGGGCGCCAGGACTGTGGACAGGGCTGGCAGGGGTTTCCCTGGCCCCCCGCCACCCCGAGGGAGGTCAGAGTGGTCTCGGCCCTGTCCTGCTCTCCCACACTAAGGCGTTAAAAGTCGCTGGGGAGTGCAGGAGGGGTCCATAGTGCTCAGGCTGTAGCTGCAGGGGGCACAGCTGGGGATCTGGCGGTGGGCACATCCGGGCTCCACCAGGGTGCCGGGTAGGGATCCTGGGGGGTGCCCGTCCCAGCTTCTCTGTGGTTCTTGTGGCACCACCCAGACGGTCCTCCCCAGAAAGAAGGCCCAGGGAGGCGGATGGGTGTTCTCCATCCCTGCAGAGAAGGGCTGCAGGCAGCAGGCCAGGCCAGGAGCCCACGGCTGACCGGCGTCTGGGTTGGCTGCTGCCCGTTGCCCACTGAGAACATTCCGTCAAGGAAGGGCAGCGTCGGGCTGGGGGGTCTCCAGCTCACAGAAGAATTCTTGTAGGATAAGAAAATGCAAGAGTGGGTATAGAGCGAGCGCTGGGTTAAAATGAGAAAGGAGGGCTGGAGCAATAGCACAGCGGGTAGGGCATTTGCCTTGCACGTGGCCAACCCGGGTTCGATTCCCAGCATCCTGTGTGGTCCCCCAAGCACCTCCAGGAGTAATTCCTGAGTGCAGAGCCAGGAGTAACCCCTGTGCATCGCCGGGTGTGACCCAAAAAGCCAAAATAAGAAAAAAAAATGAGAAAGGAAATCACTGTCAAGTTCTTTCGATGTTAAAGAATTGGCTGATACGAGCCGAGCCGGAGAGAGAGGACAGTGGGTAGGGCGATCACTTTCAATGCAGCCAACCCAGGTTCGATCCCCGGCATCCCATAGGGTCCCTTGAACACCACCAGGAGTGATTCCTGAGTGCAGAGCCAAGAGTAACACCCTAGCATCGCCAGACATGGCCCCAAAACCAAACCAAACCAAAAAAGAGGCAAATGTCACCAAGAGAAAAATCGGGGGTTGGTTGTTGTGGGTTTTGTTTTTTTTTTTCCCATAAGGTTTTTATTACCAAACTCTGTGTCCCAGCCCTGGCTTCCGTCCATATCTGCTTGTCCCATGCCAGGGGTCCAGCTCTTCCCAGCAGCTGGGAGTACAGTCCCTTCCAGACAGTAACGATCAGTCTTTCCTGTGCATTTGGCCAAATTATGTTTCTTCTTCTTTAATAGAAGTCGTTCTCTGAGCCCACACTTAATGTGGGAGACACTGTAAAAGAATTGAGGATTGTTGGGCTGGAGTGATAGCACAGCGGGCAGGGCGTTTGCCTTGCACGTGGCTGACCCGGGTTCGATTTTCAGCATCCCATATGCTCCCTTGAGCACCGCCAGGAGTAACTCCTGAGTGCAGAGCCAGGAGTAACCCCTGTGCATCGCCAGGTGTGACCCAAAAAGAAGAAAAAAAAAAGAATTGAGGATTATTAACTCTGTGAACACTTTCCTGACTTTCTACAAACACTGTAGGGGGTGGGAAAATGGCCAGACCCAGGCCAGGCTCTGCCTGCAGGAGCCCGGGTTCGAGTCCCCCACTTGCCGCCAGTGGTGCCACACGAGCACCCCCAGGAGCAGACCCCAGCACTGAGCCAGGAATAGCCCCTGAGCAGAGTAGCTTTGGCCCCTAAAACAAAAGCAAAAGAAGAGAATGAGATTGTAGGCTTTGGGGCATTTCAAACTCTTCGGTGCAGGAAAGTTAGCGGGTAGGGATTTGCCTAAAGCCAACCTGGGTTCAATTCCTGGCATCCCGTATGGTCCCCAAGCCCTGCCAGGAGTGATCCTGAGTGCAAACCAGGAGTTATCCCTGAGCACCGCTGGGTGTGGCCCCAAAACCTCAAACAAATAAAGCCCCAGTGCCTAGGAAATATGTTTTGTGCCTTAAGTGACATGTTCTTTGGTCTTTGACCACTGGAAAAGTCACACTCGGTCATAGACTATGCTTGTGCTTGTGCGTGCGTGTGTGTAACATGTGTGTGCGTGTGTGTATGTGTGAACATGTGTGCATGTGCATGTGTGTGCATCTGCGTGTGTGTGCGTGTGTGTAGGTATGTGTAAATGTGTGTGCGTATGTATGCATGTATGTGTTTTTGTGTGCATGTGTGTGCATGCATGTGTGTGCGTGTGTGTGTGCATGTTCATGTGTGTGCATGTGTGTGCATGCATGTGTGTGTTCAAGTGTGTGTGTGTAGTCGTGTGTGCGCACGAATGTATATGTGTGTGCATGTGTGTGCATGCACGCGTGTGTGTGTGTGTGTGTGTGTGTGTGTGTGTGTGGTGTTTAAGACACTGCCCTTGGCTTCAGCAGCAGGATCCTTCACAAGCAAGCCGAGCCCCTCTGGATGAGTCAGGGTCACTGCCCTTGTGGCCCCTTGCCCTGCCCCTCAGTTTCCGTGACCAGTCTGAGCATTGGTTTCTGTGGGGCGCCGGGCCCGTTGCCTTGTGGCGGCACGCAGGCTGTGCCTTGAGCGTTCCATGATCTAGTTGGCCACCGTGCACGGGTCGGTCAACCTGCTGCAGGGAGGGATCGAATTCTGAGGCCCTGAGGTTGACGGGAAGCTGGAAAGGCTCCCACCTGCCCTGCGCCTAGGGCTGTGTTCACAGTAAGGCTCGGGCCAGGAAAGCGCATTCTCCAACATTCCAGTCTCCAATGGTCCCGTCTCTCCCGGTCTCCGGCGGCTTCCATCCCAAACGGTCTTTCATGGTCATTAACAGGAAACCTGGCACGCGGGGCTGAGAGACAGCATGCCCTGCCTGCAGCTGGCCCAGGTTTGATTCCCTGGCACCGTAGAGGCCCTGAGCACCGCCAGGAGCGATTCCTGAGCACAGAGCCGAGAGTAAGCCCTGAGCACCGCCAGGTGTGACCCCAAAAAATAAAGAGAGGAAAAAGAACCATGGGGAACAGAAGGACTGTGCGTCCCCGCCCGCGATCCTGCCCACACCCATGGTCATCTGGCCCCAGGGTCGTCCTGCCAGGTCTTCTTGTGAGCAGGGGTGAAGGTGCCTCTTTGGGCGGTGCTAGAACCTGGTTGTCACCCGTGTTTAAAGTGAGCCCTAGGGCTGGAGCGATAGTACAGCAGGGAGGGTGTTTGCCTTGCATGCAACTGACCCAGGTTTGATCCCCAGCATTCCATATGGTCCCCCAAGCACCACCAGGAGTAATTCCTGAGTGCAGAGCCAGGAGTAACCCCGGAGCATGATCAGGTGTGACCCCAAAAGCAAAAAATAAATAAAATAATAAAGCAAACCCCGTCCTTTGTCCCGAGTCTCACGGTGTGTGGCCACGAGCGTTGTTCTCAGTGACCAGCCACACTTTCCCTGCAGTTCCCTGTTTCTGACTCCACCAGAGTTTTTAACAAACAACTTAGGGCTGGAGCAGGGCGTTTTGCCTTGCATGCGGCTGATCCGGGTTCGATTCCCAGCATCCCATATGGTCCCCTGAGCACCGCCATGGGTAATTCCTGAGTGCAGAGCCAGGAGTAACCCCTGTACATCGCCGGGTGTGATCCAAAAAGCAAAAATAAATAAATAAAAATCAATATAAAAAAAAACTTGTCAATTGGACGTTTTCTGCGTTGGGGGCATATTTTTGTTTTTGTCATTTTTTTTTCCACTGGGCTTTGCAACCCCAGGGTGCAAACATTTTATGATTCTTGATAGCAAATGCCCAGTGGTTTTCCAAGTCCCCACCTTTGTCCTTGGCGCTGGAGGGGCAGCTCGCCGATGTCACCCGTGGAAGCCACGTCATGTCAGAGATTGGTCACTCCTGGTAAAAGCAGGAGAGCCCCTAACTCCTGGCTAAGTGGGTGGTGGCTCCTTTCTTTTCCCGCTGGTGCTTTTTGTCTGGTGACTCGGCTCTGGGGGATTCTCTGCCCGGTTTGTGTCCCAGGTTGGTATGACGACTCGTTACTAAGGGAAATTTTGAGCTGGTGAATTGCTGTCCACATTTCTGCCTGACTTGCCTGTTCACGGCCCTCTTGTTCTCATTATGTGAAAATGTTTGATTTCTGTTTACATGTTTGCGGGGTCGTGGGGAGGGGTTGGCCACACCCGGCTGCGCTCGGCACTTGTTCCGGGCTCTGTGCTCAGGGGTCACTCCTGGCCGGGCTCAGGGACCATAGGCGGTGACAGGCGTGGAACTGGGGTCAGCCCTGTGCCAAACTCCTCAACCCCTCTACTGCTCCTCCCGCACCCGTGAAAGTGTTATTTTTTTAATTGTTGTTGTTTGTTTTATGGAAATAAATCCTTCCTTTCACCCATTCTCACTTGCAAGGCTCCATCCTCTCCAAGCTTTGTGTATTCAACTGCTTTTCCACCCCTTTCCTGTCACGAGGTTGATTTCCCCATTTGAATCTCACACTCACTCACTCAGTCCTCACTGGCCCAGGGGCCACTCTTGGCCGTAGTCAACCTGGTGCTGCTTGGGCCCAGCAGTGCCAGGCCACGAGCCCCCCACAGTGATGCTTGAGCACCGGGGTCTCTGCATGGCCGGCACCTGCTGCAGCCCTCAAGCCATCCCCCCTCCCCACTCCACCCCCCCCCCCCCCGCAGCCTGGCTTCATTGAATTGTTTTTTGTAAACATTCACACTGCTAGGTGATGTGCCAACCGAGGGGTTTGCCCCCCCCCCATGTTTGGCTGCTCTGGGTGACCCGTGACCTCCTTGTCACCCTGTTCTTTCCTCCCGCAGATCATGACCAACACAGGCAAGGCGAGGCAGAAGGGGCCACCCGGCGGGCGGTGGAGCCGGGACGAGCCCCTGCGCCGGCCCGTGACCCCCGGCGGACACAGGACCGGGGCCCCCGTGTAAGTCTGGGCGCAAGCCGCGTGTGTGTCTCTCAGCTTCATTCTGCATCATCAGCGGCACGTGTCTAACATGCCAAATAAACTCGGAGCGTTGGAAAGCATTTTTCGCTCCTTTTTTTTTTTTCCTCTTTCGGGGATTTCTGGAGGGAAGCAGGTGAGCCTCCCTCCGCCAGAGCCCACGTTTCTTCTTGCAGACCAAGAAGCTGTGGAGTGTGGCTCTCCAAGGCCACTTCCGCCCTGGTCCCCGAGGAGCCGAGGGCAGGTGGAGGCCGTTTCTGAAGAAAGGCCGGAGGGAGCGCAGGTGCTGGCCGCGCCTCCAGGGTGCTGTGACTTAATCCTTCTTTGTCCCTTTGCTCCAGTCCCTGTTGACACAAACAAAACGGGTCTCCCTGGAGCCTGGCCCCTGTGGGCTGCACTGTCCAGGGGCCACCTCGTCCAGGTTGCTGTGCCCTTTACTATGCAGCCAGAAGGAAGCAGGTGCCAATGGGGGCATCAGAGAGAGAGTAGCGGGTGTGACCAGGGGTCTGTTCCCGATTCTTTCCCTGTAGACAAAACCCTTGGGGATTGTCCTCCAGGAGTCGGGGGGGGGGGGGCGGTGCCAGCAGCTGCCCGTGATACTGAGAGGGGTCCCCACAGGACCTGCCACATGCAGCTTGGGGCCACGAGGCCGGGGGCACCCGAGCCCCCCAACCCCACCGTCCCGTGTCCTGTTCCCCATCTGGGACTTGCCCAAGAATCACTTCAGGGCTGTTTGATTCCATCTGAAAGCGTCAGCCTCTGCCTTCTATTTCAAGGCTTTTATTTCTAAAGAGCTAATTTGGGGTGTTTGGTTTGGTTTTGGGGGCCCTACCTGGCAGTGCTCAGGGGTTACTCTTGGGTCTGTAGCTAGGAATTACTCACTCCTGGAGGTGCTCAGGGGACAATGTCGGCTGTGGGAGGCCAAAGCTAGGTCGGCCGTGTGCAAGGCAAGCGCCCTACCTGCTATACGATTGCTCCAGCCCCTAAAGACTAATATTTATAAACGACGATATAGCTGCTTATTTAATTGATACTTCTCTTCAAACCTACAACCGGAATTTTGCTGTTGTTGTAACCTCCAGAAAAAGCTGGAAATGTTTCAGGGAAGAGCCAGGCAGTGGTCGTCAGCAGCCGGTCACACCTGCTGCATGCCATGCACACAACCATCTTGTTTGTTTTGCTGAACTGTCCAGAGGTTATGACCACAGAGGGCTTCCAGCCCAGGGCCGGGGATATGAGGCATCTGTAGTCTATGTGCCCCGTGTATCCTGGCTTTTTTTTTTTTTAATAGAATGTTAGAAGGATTTGTAGAATCTGGATTCCCACCTCCCAAGAATACGAAGATCCTGGGGCCCAGTGATAGTACAGTGGGGAGGGCACTTGCCTTCTGTGTAGCTGACCCAGGTTCGATCCCCGGCACCCAAAATGGTCCCCTGAGCCCCACCAGAGTCATCCCTGAGTATAGAGCCAGGAGTAAACCCTGAGCACCACTGGGTGTGGCCCCCCCAACCAGAAACAAAGAAAAAATTAAAAAAATTCTATCCCAGGGCTGGAGTGATAGCACAGCGGGTAGAGCATTTGCCTTGCATGCGGCCACCCCGGGTTTGATCCCTGGCATCCCATATGATCCCCTGAGCACTGTCAGGTGTAATTCCTGAGTGCAAAGCCGGGAGTAATTCCTGAGCATTGCTGGGTGTGACCCAAAAAGGGAAAAAAAAAAAGAGGAGGCTGGAGTGATAGCACAGCAGGTAGGGCATTTGCCTTGCATGCGGCCAACTCGGTTCGGTTCCCAGCATCCCATATGGTCCCCCAAGCACCGCCAGGAGTAATTCCTGAGTGCATGAGCCAGGAGTAACCCCTGTGCATCGCTGGGGGTGACCCAAAAAAAGCCAAAAAAAAAAACCATTCTATCCTCAGTCAAATGATAGCACCTGAGACACTGGCCATAATTTAATAATAGTTTATTTACTTTTGAAAACAATTCTTATAGTGGCTGGAGTGATAGCAAAGCACCTGCCTTGCACGCAGCCAACTCAAGTTTGATCCCCGACATCCCATCTGGTCCCCTAAGCACCGCCAGGAGTAACTCCTGAGTTCATAGAATCAGGAGGGACCCTTGAGCATCATTGAGAATAGCCAAAAAAACTGAAAAAAAATAAAATAAAAATTTTAAATTTCTTATAAATCATTAACTTTTTATAAAATTATTTCAGTTCCTTCTGGGGTGTATGCCCCTGGCTTCAGAAAAACATCACCGACCTAAGGCTGTTTCTGTTAGAATTGAGGAGACTCGAATAAATGGATGATCTAAACAACGGGTACTCTGCACCTTTGGTTCTTGTTTTGTGGGAGAAAGGAGAGGACATTTCTCCTGGCCGGAGCAGCTGGTCCCTGCTTTGCTGAACGCGCCCTTACTAGGGCCATTCCTCCGCTCCCACCCTGGGCCTACCCCCAGACATCTGCCGCCTCAGAGCCTGGTGCGGGGGCCGGAGAGATATCCAGTGGGTAGGGCGTTTGCCTTGCACACAGCTGGCCTGGGTTCAATTCCCAACACCCCCTCGGGTCCCCTGAGCACCGCCAGGGTCTTCCAGGACCCCTGAGCACAGAGCCAGGAGCACTGTATGATGTGTCCCACTCCCCCACCCACAAAAAAAAAAAAAAAACGAACAGTGTGGTGTGCTCAGTGCTGTAGACACCCAGAATGAGAGTTCTGGCCTCTGAAAGGACATGAGTGTGCATTTGGGGGCGGGGGTGCCGTCACCTCCTTAAAGGAGGAGGCACAGTGGGTGGGGCATTTGCCTTCTCACGGCCAACCAAGGCTAGATCCCTGGCACCCTGTATGGTCCCCCGAGCACCGCCAGGAGTGACCCTTGAGTGCAGAACCAGGAGGAAGCCCTGAGCACTGCCAGGGGGTGTCCAAAAACCAAAAAGAAAACCTGTCTCCGAGGGTGTCCAGCCGCACCCGCCCATTACTCCTTGTGTCTGGAACGTGGTCGGGGGAGTCTCGTCTTTCTGCCTCGTGGACTCCAGGAGGAGGCGGTTCCACCTGTGGGTTCCTCCCGAGACCCAGACGCCCACAGACAGATCCTGGGGGCGGGGGGGGGGGGGCCGTGTTGTCGCAGCGCAGTAAGCTGAGGCAGAGCCCCAGGCCCGAGGAAAAGGCCGGGACCACCAGCCCTGTAGCACCACGAGGCGAGGCTGTGACGGCGGCACCAGAGAACTTGTCCAGGTTTCCAGTGTTGAGAGTGGCTGGGTCGGGAGCAGAGAGGGCAGAACCTTCTAGAAACTGCCTGGGGTTATTTTCACCAGAACGCAGGGTTTGTAGCCAAGGTTGGGCATAATGCCTCGGTGCCCAGGGACCCCCTCACCCCTGCCTCCGACCCCGCCTGCCTCCCTCCGCCCCTGCCCCTGCCCTAGGTCCTCGCCCGACCTGGGGCTGGTCATTTCGCTTAACTTTTCCACCCATCTTCCCCCTCCTGCCTTTTCCAGGGCCTCTGTCCCCCGACGGCTTCTGCGACCGTCATCCTGTCTCAGCCCACGGCCACGGCCACCTCTGCAGGCCACTTAAGGGCTGGCTGTCCTGCGCCCGCGGCCAGCCACGTCCACGCCTCCCAGTCCCACCCAGATGTCCCCCCGGGGACCCCCGTACCGTCTTTCCTGTGTCCCAGGGTGACACTGAGGCCACCCCCCAGCTCCGGGCCCCCTCCCCCCACGACTCCCCCTGACCTTTGGGGGCACCATCACAGAGGTCACTTCTGAGACTCCAGGGGGGTGGAGGTGCTGCTCACTGCCCCCACCCCCACCCCCGGGGCTCAGGGGCAGCTGGGACTGTCCAGCCTTGAGCCTGTCTCCAGGGACTCGCCTCCCGCGGTGCTGGAGCTGACGGGCAGGAAGCCAGGGCACAGCCGGGAGGGCACTTGGCTTGCACATGGCCGAGCCGGCTTCAGTCCCCGGCACCCCATAGGGTCCCCCAAACCTGCCAGCGCAGAGCCAGGAGTAAGCCCTGAGCATCGCCGGGTGTGGCCCAAGACAAAAAATGAACAAAGAAAGAAAGAAGCCCGGGAAGGGGTGCGGCCGCCCCGGCCCCCACCCCGAGCATTGCGTGACTGACAGGTCCTGCTCCCCGTCACTGGAAGGCAAATAGAGGGTGGCAGGGTGCCAGCGAGCGCCCGAGGCGGGTGACATCAGGGACGGCACACCTTCCCGGGCGCTGCCAAGACCGTTACCAAGGGCACGTGGGTTCAGCAGCGGCCAGAGGACTTCAGAGGCCAGCACGTGCCTGAGTGTGTGTCTGTGTGCGTCTGTGTGTGTCTGTGTATGTCTATGTCTGTGTCTCTGTGTGTCTGTTTCTGTGTCTCTGTGTGTCTGTTTCTGTGTCTCTGTGTGTGTGTCTGTGTGTCTCTATTTGCTCTGTGTGTTTGTGTGTGTCTCTGTATCTCTGTGTGTGTCTGTATGTGTGTGTCTCTGTGTTTATCTGTGTGTATGTCTGTGCGTGCCTGTGTGTCTGTGTGTGTGTCTGTGTGGTTCTGTGTCTGTGTCTCTGTGTGTCTGTGCGTGTCTATGTGTATGTCTCCGTGTGAGTCTGTGTGGTTCTGTGTGTGTGGTTTTCTGTGTCTGTGTGGGTCTGTGTCTGTGTCTCTGTGTGGTTCTGTGTGTGTCTGTGTGTCTCTTGTGTCTCTGTGTGGGTCTCTGTGTCTGTGTGTGGCCCATGGCCCTGCACTAACGGCTCCGTCTCTCCTCCCCAGGTTCCAAGACTGTCCGGCGTCTCCTCAGACGGCCCGGCACCCCAGAAACGGCTACTTCCCGGCACTACCCCCGACCCCTCTCCCCTCCTACAAGGGGGGTGAGCCCGGGGCCACCCCGCCTCGCGTGTCCTCTTCACGTGAGTCTGTGGGCAGCGTGGGGGGGTGTCTAGAGCCCCCGGAGGCAACCCCGTCTTGGGGGGAGGCCCAGGCCCAGCCATCGCCCACCTGTCGCGTGGCTCCC